AAAGTTCCTGGTCAGACTTTGATAGAAATGAGACGCACAGCACGTCACCCTCAAACCAGATGCCACATATGATGCCCAAGCACTGGTTTGGGAGGTCCCAGAGGGCTCTGCACGTGATGGGGGTCTCTGTTCAGCCTCAGGGCAGAGGACTCAGACACCTGCCAAAATGTAGCTATGGCTGGGATGGGTGCAGTGCTTTCCCATCCCAGCTGCAGATTCAGGAAGTGCAAGGACAGCCACTACTTCACCCCCTGGGCAGGCAGGTGTCCCCAAAAAAGCAGGCACCGAGGGCTGGGATAGGGACAGACATCCCAGGCTCCTCCAGGCACCCAGCGAGGGGACTGGTGATGCCGGTGATGCCGGTTCCGGCGGGACCGCAGCTCCTGCTCAGCCGTGTTCGGTGTCCCCGTGTCCCCGCAGCGCCGCCCGGCCAGCCCCGCGGGATGCTCCGCTGGCATCCCTGCTGGATGAGATGGACACGCCATCGCTGGAGGGCTCCGTGCCCGGCAGCCCCACGCCGCAGAGCCGGACCCTGCCCTGCTCCAGCCACTCCGGCCGCCCCCCGAGCAGCTCCCCGGAGCGGGGAGAGCAGCCCCGAGCCCCCTGGAAAGGCGCCGGGAAGGAGGATGAGCTCTACTACGGGCTCCAGGAGGAGCCGGATGCTCTGCTCCAGGAGGGTGATGGCCTCTCTGAGCCTGAAAACTGATTTTCTGGAAAAAAATGGTCACTTGGCATGGACTCACCTCATGGAGGGGACGCACAGGTCGTAGCCTGGAGGAAAGGGGGCTGTCCCCAAAAGGATCCTGCCTGTCCCTGTGCCGTGCTGCAGCCCTGGTGCACACCCAGCCGCTCAGGAGGCTGTCATTTCCCCCAGACCCAAAGGGGGAACTCCCAGCTCCTGAATTCAACAGAACATGGGACAAGGCCTCCTCGCCAGAGCCATTTGGGTGGGCACAGAGAAGCTGGGCTGGGCAGGATCTGGGCTAAGTGCTGTGCTTGGGAAGGGAAAGGATTGGCTGTGCTGTTTGGAGCAGGATCAGGTAGGTAAAACCTGCTCAGTGCAGTGGGTTTTATCAGGCAGAGTTGTCCTCAAAGTCTTTTTCCCACTTACCCAAGCTCTGCTGAAATTAAAATTCGATCCTGAGTCCCCTGCAGCAGGCAGCCTTCACATCTCCGGGCTGGGAGAGGGGGGATGGAGGTGACAGATCGTGCTGTCCCCTACCTCCTGCACAAGGACCAGCTTCCAGCCCTCCTGGGGACACAGTGGGGAGGACACAGCTGAGCCAAAACCGTGGTGGTGGCACTTGAGGTTGTGGCTTTGCACACTGTCTGCTGGGTCGGTGTCAACAGCTGCAGGTGGCTTTGCAGGCTGGCACCCACCGTGCCCAAACTTTCTGTGAATAAAAGGTGTTTGTCCCAAACCACGTGTGTGGATCTCAGCCTGGCTTGTCACCGTGACAGGGACAGCACAGGGGCTCTCCACAGCCTGGCTCCAGCACACAGAGAGGGCAGAGCTGGTGGGAGACACAACCTTTGGCTGCTCAGGACTGCAGGGATCTGTGAGGCTGAGCCTCCCCAGGGCAGCTGGGTCTGGATCAGAGCATCCAACAGCACGGGGATGCTGAGAGTCCCTAGCTCTGTTTTGGGAAAGCTGGGCTGGATCTGCCTGTGCCTGGCATGGCCCCAGGAGGCTTGGGAGCACACGTCTGCTGGCAGAGGAGACTTCAGCAAATTCCATAGAATCACAGAACTCAGCTGGAAGGGAGCTTAAAAACCTGCAGCTGCAACCCCCCGAGCGGAAAAGTGGGGGACAGCTGTGCCCAGCAGCCCAGGGGGATGGGGCACAGAGCCCTGCAGGGATGTTCCTGTGCTCCCTGCCACCCAGGAGTGCTTGGCTGGTACAGGGCAGGGTGTGCAAGGAAAGGCTGTGCCTGAGGTGTCACACCCCTGTGACAATCCTGCACCCTTGGCTCACCTTGGTGTCACCAAAGCAGCCAGGCAGAAGGGCAGGGAGCACTGGGCTGTTTATGGGCAACAGCAGGGTGGGGAGTGAAGGCTCCAGTGTTGGCTAAACATTGGCACAGGGTTGTGAGCTGCTCTCCAGGGGGAAGCATTACCAGATTGATTGCATGGACTCAGCTCCTGCCTGTCATTCCCAGGGTGAGTGTGGTGGCTCTGGGAAGGCTGTTTGGATGGAGCCATGCCTCACTGAGTTTCAGAGGGTGCCCAGGGCAGGATGTCACTCTGTCACTGCTCCTGTGGAGTGTGGGGATCTGGTGGAGACCCAGAAGCTTTTACCTATAGAACCACAGAAGGTTTGGGCTGGGAAAGGACCTTAAGGATCATCTTATTCTAAGCCCCCTCCATGGGCAGGGACACCTTCCACCAGACCAGGTTGCTCCAAGGCTCGTCCATCCTGGCCTTGAATGTGTCCAAGGATGGGGTATCCACAGCTTCCCTGGGAAAACTGTGCCAGGGCCTCACATCCAAAGTCCCTCCCTGCTCTCCTGTAATCTCTGTGCTGAAGGGCTCTAAGGCTCTTCTCCAGGCTGAACACTCTCCCGGAATTTCCTCACAGAAGAGATTCCTACCTCATGCCTTGGCACTCACTCTCATTTTTTGGCAAAATAAATCTGCTTTTCAGAAGCATTCCTCCCGGCAGAGGCAGGGCAGGGGGCTGACACCCAGCCTGGACCCTCTCCCGCATGGAACCCTTCACGCAGCTGGCTGTGCATCCCCCACCCCCGGCACAGCATCCCGCGCCGGCCCAGGTTAAACATTGCGGGACCCGCGACATTCCTGCACGGATTAAGCGCCGCCAGCAGCCCCGGCTGTGGCTCCGCCCGCGCAGGGGGGACAGCTCGCTGCCCACGCGTGTCACCCTCCGCCTCTCATCGCGGCTGGCGGCCGAAGGATGGAGAGGGACCCTCGGCAGTGCCACTCGGCAGGACGGGGCTGTCGCTGTCCCGGCGCTTGGCGGCGGGCGGGGGGACGCGGCAACAGCGCACCAGTGGTGTAGTGGTATCATGCAAGATTCCCATTCTTGCGACCCGGGTTCGATTCCCGGCTGGTGCAGGACGCGGTCCATGTAGCCTTTTCTAAGTTGTGGTAGTGCAGTGTTAAGGCGCGGGCAGACGTGGAGGTCTCCCAAAATTTGTGGGAGTTTCTTTTTACCGACGGGATGCTCGGCCCAGCGCTGTGTCCGCACGTCCCGGAGCCCATTTCTCCCCCCGCAGGGATTAGGGACCTTTCCCCTTCCTCCTTGTTGAGATCTCTGATGCCTCCTCTGCTCTCTCTTTCCTCCCTCCTCAACAGGAGCCCACCCCCTCCTTTACACAGACACACACGCTGGAAGCCCCACAGGGAGCCAGGACTGAAATAGAGCTCTTCTGCACAAGGTGCAAATTTTGGGCTATTTCTGAATAATTCTCAATTAAAAAAAAAACCAAAAAAACAAAAAAATAACCTTTCTGCAGATACCCACTCCTGGAGTGTGAGAGCTGTGGCCGGATCCCTTCCCAGGCTTCCAAGACCTCCATGGTTCCTCAGCATGTGGGGATGCACGTGGAACGGGGGAACCTCTGCCACCCCCTCCCTCCGTCCTTCCCTGGAACACAGATTGTCCCCTGTGCAAAAACGCAGGGAAAGGCTGCAGGGAGAGGGAGACTGTCCCCCTTGAGATGGGGTCCCCCTGTGCTCAGCTGTCTCAGAAGCCTCCTGAGGCCCCAGTGGTGCGTTGTGGGACTTCGCAGCACCGAGGAAGCTGAGCCAAAAATTAGGAGTGAAGCTCGATCCCATGATCAGTGTCCTGAACGCTGACCCCTTCCAGTGTCAGCTCTCTGCAGCACCGGGGTGACAAGCAGGGTCTGGTGTCCCTGCAGTTACCTGAACCAGAGGTCAGGCTCCCACTTGAGGTCTCATTAAAAAAAAAAAAAAAAAAAAAAAAAAAAATCAACATTTCCCCTACAAACTGTTCACATCCGTATAAAACACACCCATCCATATAAACCATGCACATCCTTATAAAACATTAATGTCCATGCAAACCACAGACATAATTATAAACCACGTTCATCTGTTTAAAACATATAGGTGCATGCAAACCACACACATCCACATAAAGCATTTATGTGCATACAAACCATACACATAATTATAACATGTACACCATGTAAAATATATATTCATACAACCCTACAAATCCACACGAAACACGCACATCTGTATAAAACATGTGCATCCATATAAACATATAACCTCTGAGGAGCTTATAAATAACCAGCCAAAACCACAAATGTATTCCTGTTTCCCTGAAAAGCCGGGAGCAGGGACGGGGTTTGCTGAAGGTCACTGGACATGTGGGGCAGTGTGGATCCCGATGCTGCGGGAGGGCGGAGGTGGGAAGCGGCGTGGAGACCCGCGGGAAAGCGCCGCAATCATCCCGCAAAAAAAGGGCATTTGCGATGTGTGACGACTCTGTAAAAAATGCCCAAACAGGATTAGAGGATTTCCCGGGAAATCATTCGTGGAGTGAGGCAGTAGGAGGCACATTAAAGCTTTCAGCCCTTTCTGAGAACAGTCCTTGAGCGGCTGCGCTTTGCTCGCCAGAGCCCCCAGCGACCCGCCGGGACCCGGGGTGAGCAGCGGCCCCGTTTGCCCTCTCCCCTCGGCCCCGTTAATGCTTAACCCGCCCGGTTTGCTCCACGGGGCCGGCGGCCGTGGCGTGATCCCCGCCCCGCCGCGCTGAGCCCCGGCCAGACGGCGGAGCCGCGGCCGCCGCTGCGCTCCGGGACTGCGCGGGTGCGCACCGGGATTGCGCTCCGGGACTGCGCGGGTGCGCTCCGGCCCCTCGGCTCCGCTCCAGCTCCCCGGCCCCGCTCCAGCCCCTCGGCTGCGCCGCGGCCCCGCGGGTGCGCTCCGGCCCCTCGGCGGTCTCGCAGGGGGTCCCGCCGGTGCCGTCCCCGGCTCCGGGGGTCCCGGCGCTGCCCGTCGGGTGCGGGATGTCCCCGCGGGCGCTGGAGCTGGTGCTGGTGCTGGCGCTGGCGGAGCTGGTTCTGGCCCCGGGAGCGGCCGAGGAGGGGGAAGCCGCCGTCGGGGCCGCCCCTCCGCGATCCGCTGCTTTCCATCGCGCCGCCAAGGTGAGGAGCGCGGGGTGGGGGGACAGCCACGCTCCTCTGTGTGTGTGTGTGTGTGTCCCGAAGCCCAGCCCGGTGCTCGTGTCCCCGCAGGCGTCCTGGCGGCTGCCCGGGCGCTACGTGGTGATGCTGCGGGCGGGCAGCGAGGCCGAGCTGCGAGGCACGGCCCGGCGGCTGCAGGCCCGGGCGGCTCGGCGGGGACACCCGGCAGAGCTGCTGCACGTCTTCCACCTCCTGCCCGCCTTCCTGGTGAGGATGAGCAGCGACGTGCTGGACGCGGTACGTGGAGCGGAGGACAGGGTGGTGGCAGGGGACAGCGGCTGCGGTGGGCGCTGGTGGGAGTGGGAGCCCCTGCCTCGGGGGGAAACGGGAGCTTTGTGTCCCCCCCGCAGGCGCTGAAGCTGCCGCAGGTGAAGTACATTGAGGAGGATGCCTACGTCTTTGCGCAGAGCATTCCCTGGAACCTGGGCAGGATCGTACCGCCACAGCCCGGCTCGGGCGCCTACAGCCCTCCCAGTAAGCGCTGGGGTGTGTGAGGGGAGCGAGGCTTTGAGGAAGAGTCAGGTCCCCTCTCCTTAACTTGAGGGGTGGGAATATTCCTCTGCTCCATGGTGCTGCATTTTGGGAGCAGCCCAGGTGGCCTGTGCTGACCGTGGTGGTGGTTGCCTTTCCCCCCGCTGCACCCCTGGCAGATCAAAGGTGACCTGGCCGAGATTTACCTGCTGGACAGCAGCGTGCAGAGCACCCACCGGGAGATCGAGGGCAGGGTGACTGTGACTGGCTTCGAGAGCATCCCCGAGGAGGATGGCACCCACTTCCACAGGCAGGTGAGTCCTGAGGTGCCGCACGCTGCATCCTGGCCAGAGCACCCGCCTGCGTCCACCAAATCCTGCCCAAGCTTGCGAGGCTTTCCAGGACAAGGGAGACACTTGGCCCGGACCAAAATGCTGGGCAGGATGGGCAACAAGAGCTGTGGTCTATTGGGAGCCTCAAGGTGGTCTGTTTGGAGATATGGCTGAGTCGGGCACTCTCTAGGAAAGTGTTCGAGGGTAGCACGGGTGTGTGTCGGGTAAGAGAGAACCAAGGTGGGAAAGGGGTGGGATTGCAAACCTGCTTTGATGCGGTAGCACGGGTGTGTGTCGGGTAAGAGAGAACCAAGGTGGGAAAGGGGTGGCGGGCACGCGGTGGGATTGCAAACCTGCTTTGATGGAACGGGCTGGGGCACGACACTGCGGTGCCCGTGCCAGGCCAGCCAGTGTGACAGCCACGGGACCCACGTGGCCGGGGTGCTGAGCGGGCGCGACGCCGGCGTGGCCAGGGGCGCCAGCATCCGCAGCCTCCGCGTGCTGAGCTGCCAGGGGAAGGGCACCGTCAGCGGCACCCTCATGGGTGAGTCACCCCCGCCCCCAGAGCAGCAGGGTCCCTCCCGCAGCTTCCTGCCATGGTGTCTTGTCGCTCGCAGCCCTGGAGTTCATCGGGAGGACGCTGGAGGCTCAGCCCTTCGCGCCGCGGGTGGTGCTGCTGCCCCTGGCCGGAGCGCGGAGCCCCGCGCTGAACGCGGGCTGCCGGCGGCTGGCACGGACCGGAGCGGTCATGGTGGCGGCTGCCGGCAACTACAAGGACGATGCCTGCCTCTACTCGCCTGCTTCCGAGCCGGAGGTACGGCTGTGGGGACCGCTGAGGCTCCGGGTCAGCGAGGGCTGGGCTGGGCGCGCCATCCCTGCCCTGCTCTCTGTCACTGCCAGGTCATCACGGTCGGTGCCACCGACAGCGAGGACCGACCTGCCTCCATCGGCACCCTGGGCACCAACTTTGGCCGCTGCGTGGACCTGTTTGCCCCGGGGGACGACATCATCGGCGCCTCCAGCGACTGCAGCACGTGTTTCACAGCGCGGAGCGGGACGTCGCAGGCGGCCGCGCATGTGGCAGGCGAGCTGCGCTTTGAGGGGCAGGGAGGGCTGGCCCTCCGCTTGCTGGTGCTGGCACAGGGCTCCAGGCATGCCTGAGCTGGGGGCATTTTCCCCCCATGTTCCCTGACTCCCCTGGTTTGTCTCATCCGGGCGCGGCAGCCTGCGCAGCGCTCCCGCACCCCGCGCGTGTGGGCGATGGGCTGCAGAGATGCTCTGCCGTGTCTCTGGAGCCGCGCTGCCCACGGCAGCGCTGCGTGGGTGGCTCTGTCCTCTCTGGTTGTCACTGCGGCCCCCGGGCTCTTGCAGGCATCGCGGCCGTGCTGCTCAGCGCCGAGCCCCAGCTGAGCCCGGCCGAGCTCCGCCAGCGCCTCCTGCGCTTCTCCACCAAGAACGCCATGGACACGGCGTGGATCCCGCAGGAGCAGCGCCTCCAGACACCCAACAGCGTGGCAGCGCTGCCCGCCCGGCTGGCAGCAGGTAAGGACCTCGCTGCCTGCTGGGTGCTCGGCAGAGTTCTGCTCTTGCCAGGAAAAAAAGTGCCGGAGTGAAGGCACAGCAGGGAATGTCCTCCGGGCTGTGCCGGGGACGGCTGAGCCTGGCTGCATCCATGGATGGGCGAGATGGAGCCTGGTCGGTGGGTGCTGGGTGACACTGAGGGTGGCACTGAGGGTGTCACTGAGGGTGTGTGGGTGACACTGAGGGGGGCACTGAGGGTGTGTGGGTGTCACTGAGGGTGACATTGAGGGTGGCACTGAGGCTGTCCCCCTCCCCGGCCCCGTTGCAGAGGGGCCGCTGCTCTGCCGCTCGGTGTGGTCGGCGCGCTCGGGGCTCTCCCGGCTCTCCAGGGCCGTGGCTCGCTGCGCCAGCACCGAGGAGATGCTCAGCTGCTCCAGCTTCTCCCGCAGCGGCAGCCGGCTGGGAGAGCACGTGGAGGTGAGCAGAGCGGGGCAGAGCTGCTGCCCCTGCAGGGCCCGCTGCCCTCGGAGGGGTGTCCCCAGCCCCCCGAGGCCCCGGTGACGCTGTGCTGCCCCGCGCCCAGGACAAGGACGGGCAGAAGCAGTGCGTGGCCCTCAACGCCTTCCAGGGCCAGGGGGTTTATGCCATCGCCAGGTGCTGCACGTGGCCCAGGGCTGAGTGCCGGATCAAGGCCAGCTCCCCGGGGGCCCAGGGGGCCGAGTGCTCGCCAGGAGACACCGTGCTGACTGGTAACACCCAACACGCGGGGTTACAGACCTCTGAGCCTGATGGACAAGGGTGTTTCTTCCAGAAAAGCTCTGGGATTTGGGGGTAAAAGGGTGGGTGTGGTTGCTGGGGTGGTAGGGAAGGGGTGCATGTGCTGTGTGCTTGGAGGGAGGAAGGTGCAGGGCGCATCCTTGGCAGCAGTGCGTGCACTGGGATGCTGCCATGGCTGCCCTGTGCCAATATCCCCTCTGCCCCGGGCAGGGTGCAGTTTCCACTCCCCATCCGTGGTGCTGGGTGTTGGTGGCAGGCCCGTGGAGGGGCTGGGGAGGGGGCCCAGCCGCTGTGCCAGCAGGACAGAGGCGATGGCCCACGCCTTGTGCTGCCCCAGTGCCAGCCTCGAGTGCCGGCTGAAGGAGCACGTGGCCCTGGAACACGAGGAGAAGGTAGGGATGGGCCCTGCCCCTCTGCCGTGCTGTTCTCTTTGTCTCTGCTGTCCCTCTGCCACCCTGATGGCTTTTGGGTGTGGCTGTCCCGACCCCAGCCTTGCCTGCTGTCCCCAGCTGCAATGGGACACCCCGTGCAGCGGGGTGACAGAGTCACACACCCTGAACTGTGGGGCCCTCGGGGACGGGCAGCCCCTGGCCCTTTGCTGACCCGTGGGTGGTGACCTCTCCTCCCCGTTAGGTGACAGTGTCCTGTGAGGATGGCTGGACGCTGACGGGCTGTAACTCCCTGTCCCGGAGCCCTGGCTCCACGGGAGCCTACGCCGAGGACAATTCCTGCGTGGCAGCCGCCGTTCCTGGCAGCAGCTCGGCCGTGGCCATTTGCTGCCGGAGCCGGCAGTAGGGACAGGCTGAGCTGAGGGGTGGCTCCTGTGGCACAGCAGGGATGGAGCCCTTGCTGGAGCGCTGTGTCCCTGGCTCAGTGCCTTTCCAGGTTTCCAGAACAATCCATGCTCCGACACGCAGCCGATGGCCGAAGTTGTCTCCGCCTCGCGCACAGCGGGGTCAGGATCCAGGCCAGCATCCAGGGTGGCTCTTCAAGAGCTCTCCAAGCACCCCCCGTGCAGCTGGAGCCCTGTCCCATCACTGGAGTCATCCCAGAATCCTTTCCCTGCCATGCTCTGGGTCTTCCTACAAGCACTTTGACAGAACAAGCCGTGCTGTTGTCACCCAGCATAGGAAAAATCCACCATTTTTTAAAGAAAAAAAGTGTTGTGAGGATCACTCCTTCCTTTCCTGCTTAGTTGCTCATTAGTTGTCAGCCAATGCTGCTTAGCACTTGGAAAATCTTAGTTTAGCCATTTTTGGGCAGTTTTATAATTGCCTAATCGTATTCCTAGGAGATTTCTTTACTTTTGAGTCAAGTGTAAGGGCTTTAGTTTAAACAGCCTGCTTGGTTAATTAGATTTTTATCTGCATTGCTACAGTCAGCTACTGCTTCATTAGTGCTTTTTTTTTGTTGTTGAGTCAAAGTTAATGATCTGCTGGTGTTATGTGTTAACAGTTTCAGGTCTTCCCAAGATACAGAACTGTAGGAGGCTGTAATTCCTAAAAAAACCCCAACAAAAACAAAAACAAAAAAAAAACAAAAAAAAGCTTCATAGCACCTTTGTTTTTACATTTGTACCTTAAATATTTACTTGGAGTTTTATAAATGAGCGTTTTATAAATGTCTTTTTAAAATAAAATTCATAGACCTGTGCTCTTGTGGTCCTTTGTCTGCTTTCATAGACAGCAGGTCCCCTGGGGAACTGGTCTGGAAGAGAGAAGGGGGACCCATCCAGCAGGGAATTGGCTTTGTCAGTGAGCAGCCCCAGGCCTCCACGTGGGATCTGATCCCTGCCTGGGATCCAAGGTGCTGCTGGATGGCAGCTGGCACAGACAGCACAGGCACCCTTGCCCACAGCCGGGTTGTGCTCTGGGACTGTGTTGTCCCCACACACACGAGACCAGAAGTTTGTTTTAACAACAGTGGTGCAGGGAAAAGCTTCCAGTTATGGAAACAAACATCAGGCAGCTTTGGGAATGCGCCCTTGAACTTGGGTTGCTGCTGTTCCTTCACTTGGGAAGGGCTGGAGCCCCAGGAAGGAGACAAAGCTTGGCTTAGAGAGATGCCAACAGCAGGGAAAGGCTGAGAAGCACTGGTCTGGAAGAGGGAAGGGGGACCCATCCAGCAGGGAATTGGCTTTGTCAGTGAGCAGCCCCAGGCCTCCACGTGGGATCTGATCCCTGCCTGGGATCCAAGGTGCTGCTGGATGGCAGCTGGCACAGACAGCACAGGCACCCTTGCCCACAGCCGGGTTGTGCTCTGGGACTGTGTTGTCCCCACACACACGAGACCAGAAGTTTGTTTTAACAACAGTGGTGCAGGGAAAAGCTTCCAGTTATGGAAACAAACATCAGGCAGCTTTGGGAATGCGCCCTTGAACTTGGGTTGCTGCTGTTCCTTCACTTGGGAAGGGCTGGAGCCCCAGGAAGGAGACAAAGCTTGGCTCAGAGAGATGCCAACAGCAGCCACCAAAGCTGGGTCTCACTTTTCTCTCTGTTTAGCAGCCTCCTGGTGCTACAAGATGTAATTTTTGTGGTGTTATCTGAGGATAGATGAAAAAAAACCACAGTTTGATATCACAAGCTCCAGGTTAAGCTGTCAGACTCGGCGGGGTTGGGTGTTTTTCCCAACCCAAAAGCCCCCTGCAGCTCCGTTACTCCGGCGTTAATTGGCAAGGGAAGACAAACCCAGCACAAAACACCACTTTGAAAGGTTGAAACTAATTCTAACTTGTTAACTAAAGCTGGCAAAAGCCCAACCCTAATCTAAACATGTAATTATATAACATGGACATAATTACAGCCCATAATTTCATTCAGCTGGAACCTGCATTTTGCACAAAGAGGCAGAAAAGAAAAAGGGATGTCAGCCTGAGAGCTCCTGGACAGCTCTGACACCGAGGGTGATTTTTCAGGAGGCTCCTTGGGCTGTCACCTCTCAAAACACACATCAGGATTTCAGCTCCGCTGCCTGCCCTGTGAGAGGGGAGGATCCAGCACAAGCTGTGAGCATTTTCCACGCCTGATAAGCCAGACAGAGCTCCCCCAGCTCAGCTCAAGCCTTCATAAGCCTGGTAGAAGGAAACAATATTAAGAGATTAGCCCTTGCTTTTTGCCTTGTATGTGGGTAGGTGGAAAAGCCTCTCACGGTCAGGAGAGCAGGGCTGATCCCAGGGATGCTGATCCCAGGGATGCTGATCCCAGGGTCGCTGATCCCAGTCCTGGCAGCACTTTGCAAGTGCACGCTCCCAGGACCGCCAGGGGAGAGCAGAGGCAGTGTCAGGCTGGAAAAGTCAAAGTCCTTGTCCTTAGAGCAGGGGGCAAAGGCAGAGCAGGGATGGCAGCTCCTGGTCCCCAAACAAGTGAGCAATGGAACACCAGCTCCGTGTGCACCCTCTGGCCCGTGCCCCTGGGGGAGGCAGGAAGAATTCACACCCAGCTGGCCCACAAATCTCGGATCTGACACACAAAATCCGCTCTAATCCACCACTGTGAGCGTGGCCAGGGTAACTCACTGTGCTGGGGTCAGGAGGAGCTCACAGAGGTACAGAGGGGACAGAGCCCCAGCACGTGCTGTGGCATAAGGACGTACAGCAGGGCAGCTCCAGGGCCACCCAGCTGCTTCCACTGACTCTGGACAGGAGCCAAAACAGCAGTCAGGGCCCCCCTGAGGAGCTCAGCATCTGCAGGGCTGGCCCAAGGAGGTTCAGGATACGAGGATCAACAAGAGCAGAGTGTAGCAGCGTGTGCACAGTCTAAAGATTACACTACTTTTCTGTGAAAGGAATAACTTTATTCCATTGACCAGGAATCCCAAGACTGTTCATCAAGACTGCCTATTTTTCCAGTGCCAAATGTCTATGCATTAATTGGACAATATCTCCCTGAGCGCTCACAGGCAGGCTGTGGCTGCTCCTCACTGAACATTTTGTAAGCTGTATAAAAACATTTTCATCCAAAAAGATTGGCAGTAAAAATTACAACATATAAATGCATCACAATTTACACAAAAACTAGTTTGGTTTTTTTTTTTTTCCTTTTGTCGAACTCTATTTTCCAAAAAATAATCTTCAGCAGGTTCAAATGACAGCAGCTGGAAACAAAAATAAGTGATCAAATATCATCTTATTGCAAATTATAACCACTGACTTTGTACAAGCGTGAGCAGAACCGTGAAAAAGTTTGTATTGGTTTCAAGTATACAGTGGTGATGAGCCATCCTGATGCAATTCCCACCAATGCTTCCCTGGGCCTGGGCTGTCGAGGATGTTGTTTCCATAGGAAATAACAGGAACCTGAAGTGACAAGTGGTGCCAACCCATGGGAACATGACCAGCTTTTCCCATCACCGCTGTGTACTGACTCCTTGGGAAGATTCATGGCCTGTTGCCAAAGCATTTGGGGGTGGGGGAAGGAAGGAAGGAAGAGGGGTGCCCGTAAGAAATGATTAATTCCAAATTAATTTAAAATACGCGTCACATTTAAAACGTCCCAGCACATCATCAGAAACATTTACAAAATGCTAACTCTGCCCTGTGCCTGTGAAGACATTGTTTGGAAAAGGAAAGTGAGAGATTCACTACGGTGCCCCCCTGCCATCCATCCTACCCCACAATAAGTTACAAAGCTGTACAGCTGACATCGCATCCCATGGATCCTTCCGACAGTGACATGACTGGTTACTTTCAATATTAGTGCACAACAGTGAAAAGCTGTCTGCTGCTCTGTGTTTTGGCAGCAGCGTGTGAAAAGAAACAAAAAAAGGCACTTTTTGGCTGGTTGTGCCTTTAACTTGGCAAATTTGTCTATTCTGGAGGTACCCAGGCACTCTTTAAGATGTCCCCCGTTTCTGTGCATGTTTGTTTATATAATTTTTTTTCAAAGTAAGGCAGAATCCATAAATAAAGGCAAAAAGCAGTGCAGAAAATGTGACAAACACAAAATGTACAAAAGATGAAGTTAGTTGGCACAAAAGAAGCTTGAATCCAGAGCCAGAAATCACTGAACTGCACTTGACATAGAAAACAAAACTGTGCTCAAATCATCCCAACTGGTTTCCAGTTATTTGTGAGCAAATTAAAAGAGCTGTGATATTTTAAACGTTGCCTGGTCAAGTGAAAATGCAAATAAAGCCAATTCTTTCTTTCCCTCTGTTAAAATTGCTCTAAAATCTGCACAACAGTGTTCCCAGCTAACTCAAGGAATTATTCATCATATACAACCAATACCAACTTTCTCAGTAATTTCAAAGCATAAGCAAGTGATTGCAGATCCATGACTGAGACTACATTTTATTCAATATGTCTCCAAAGGTTAAAAAAATTTAATGAGTAAAACTGCAACAGAATTCCTTCTTAAAGTGCTTTTTTTCTTTTAAACTACTCATTAACTTTTTCTTTTTATTCACCAACATCCTTGAATAATAAATGCTTGCATACCTAGAGAACAAAGCTTTTCTTTTACTGCCCTTCCCAGCTGTCTGAAGGGTTTTTGGAAGGGTACTGGGAAAGATGACTCATTCCAGAGCTCCTTTACCAAATCATTCAGTAAGGAATGACTCTTCTTACAGAGCAATTCTGCTGATCTTTCTCATCAAGAGCTTTACAAATTAGCAGGGAGACATATTAAATACAGAAGTCCTTATGTAAACCCATTCTTTAACTAATATTTTACAATGAAATGTAAGTCATCACACATCTTTACAGAAATTTGAATATTCCTATTCAATATTATCAGAAAGATTAAAAATTTGCCCTCCATACATAAGGGCAGTCTGTTTCTTTTTTTTTTTTTTTT